AGCATGTGTAATGTGAGGGGAAGCACGGGGAGGGCTGTGCAACACAGAGAAGACAAGTAGTGATTCTACAGCATTTTACTATGCTGAAGGACAGTGACTGAAATGGGGTTTGTGGGGGGGACTTGGTGAAGGGGGTAGCCTAGTAAACACAATGTTACTCAGGTAACTGTAGATTAATGATACAAAAAAAGAAAAAAATATGAACTCTTAACTCATAAAGGGGTTGTGGATAAAATTAGAGTTCCTGTGGCCAGGATTCTCATCTGGCTGTGGTTGACTAGCTCACTGGACACCTGTAGGCAATACATTGCTGTTGACTCTATATAAAGAGCTCTGCCCAGTACTTTTGGCACACCACAGTGGCAAGGCTGCAAGGCCGCAGGAGAGCAGAACAGAGGCTGGAGTGGTGGCAGCACTGAGGACAGAGGCCCGGAGGATGGCTGTGTGGGATGACTGTACAGAGTGGTCCAGAGGACGTCTGTGCAGGATGATTGTGCACAGAGGCACAGAGGATGGCTGTGTGGACAGAGGGGCCCAGAGGCAGAGACCAGCTTGCTGCATGCAGACTCACTCTGACTAAACAGGATTTTAGTGACTGACCTGCCACCTGGAAATAAATTTGGGTATAACCCTTTCACCCCAAGAACGTTTTGCTGTCAATTTCTTTGGTCACATTGAATCCATAGCAGACTTGCCTGGGGCTTAAACCCATTGGCAAGACAATTGGTGTAGTCGTCAGGATTCATTGTTGACCACGGAAAAAGACAGACTGCCCTTATGGGAGGGGTGCTTCAGCGCGCTGCTCCTGTGAATGGGAAGACAGTGGATTGTCCCCCAGTGGTATGTGGTCTGAGGTGGCTTGCCTCCTAGAGGACTGGACCTCACCCCAGGACTGGTGGCAAATGGAGGTGACACCTGAGGCTGTAGGTGTGGCCCTAGGTATAATAAGTAGATCCTTTGAGAAGCAGAGTGCCCAAGAGGCAGCAGGGACTGTGGGTTGGCTGCTTCTCACAGTATTAAAAAGGTCTACAGAGGAGACCCAAGAAATGGCAACATGAGAACGCAAGATGCAAACTTCTGTGGATTCCCTGAGGAAGGAGATGGCATTGATGAGGGAGGAGGCAGCACGAGAGTGTTGGCAGCAAGTTGCCATTGGAGATGAAATGGCAGCACTCCAAGGTGTTCTGAAGGAGGAAGAAGCCATCAAGGAAAAAGACGAGCTCCTGAGGGAAGCACAGGCAGAGGTGGCTCCAGAACGTCAGATGCGAAGCATTCAGCTGAAGGTAAGAGACCTTCTGAAGACTGAGCTGGAATTTTTGCGAGGCAGTGCAGCAGAGGAGGCACTTGGGGAAGTAGAGAGAAAGATGCCATCAGCCCCAGAAATGGAGGAGCTGGGGAAGGATGAAGGGGTGGTGCTGGAGGCACTGGTCCCTCCTATATTGAAAGCACACCCAGTGGTTGTAAAGAAAATAAAGACCCAGCAGCTGAAAGTTCCCCAAGGAGAGGAGCAGCCCCCTCCCCAGGTCGTGGAGCACTTATGCTCTGCCCCTATACTCAGGCTGAGCCAGTGGGTGTGGGACTTAGGCGTGGATGGAATTGTTCTGTCGGGATAATAGATGGGAAAGCTGTCATCCCTGAAAGTGCAGCCTGCCTTGAGGCAGTGATTACAAAATGCGAGGTGACACGTACAGTAGCTGAAGCAATGAGAACCCAGAAAGAAGTAAAACCTGTTACTCACAAGAGGAATTTGAGGGGCCTCGTGAGGGTTACAAGGATCCAGATGTGAGTTGATTTGATACGGACAGGAGTAGATGGAAGGAAATTAGATGGAAAGCCAAATGGGATCTTACTGGAGCTATGGCAACAGCTGAAACCAGAGCAGCAGTTCCAGCCATTAAGACCAAAGAGGCAGAGGTCAGAGACAGAGCCATGAGTCCAGCCTGTGTGTGTGTGTCTGCAAGACTTTTTGCTGGAGAGGCTGGAGAACAATATTCAAGCTCCCTTGCACAGGGACCATTGCAGAGGACTAAGGGCACAGAGATTGAGAGGAGAGAATCCTGGAGGGGTGGAGTGTGGATAAAATGAGAGTTCCTGTGGCCTGGATTCTCACTTGGCTGTGGTTGACTAGCTCACTGTACACCTGTGGGCAATACATGGCTGTTGATTCTATAAAAAGAGCTCTGCCCAGTGCTCTGGGCATGACACGGTGGCAGGGCTGCAAGGCTGCAGGAGAGCAGAGCAGAGGCTGGAGTGGTGGCAGTGCCGAGGATAGAGGCCCGGAGGACAGCTGTGCGGGACGACTGTGCAGAGAGGCCCAGAGGACAGCTGTGTGGGACCACTGTGCAGAGAGGCCCAGAGGTTGGCTGTGTGAGACAACTGTGCAGAAGGGCTCAGAGGATGGCTGTGCAGACAGAAGGGCCCAGAGGCAGAGACCAGCTTTCTGCATGCAGACTCGCTCTGAGTAAACGGGATTTTAGTGACAGACCTGCCACCTGGAAATAAAGTTGGGTATAATCTTTTCACCCGAAGAATATTTTGCCATCAATATCTTTGGTCACATTGAATCCATAGCAGACTTGCCCAGGGCTGTTTCCCATTGACAACACAGGAGGTAATAACTCAATGTCATTTTTTAATATCAATAATAATAATTTTATTCTTAATTATAATCCTCTGTGTCAGCATCATGAAACTTTCTATGAATCAACACCAAGACCCATTTAAAAGGAATTATCATTCCTGCTCTTTAGGTCATTTGCATTTTAGATTAGCATACACACACCCCAAACTGAATTTTCAAAGGGCACAAATTAATATATTGAATGGTATAATAAAATGTATAACATATTGAATGAATAGGTAATTAAAACCATGGTGGATGTGCAAATTAGTCAGTGATAGATTCCAAGATAATTTTTTGTGTTTGCCACCTGTGTTAGTACTACCAGTATCATAGTGTAGCCAAAGAAGCCATTATGAGCATGTAAGCCATCTATATAGTAAATAAACTATTTCACTCTGACTCTTGCATTTGGATCCAGGAATGGTAAAATATTCCCCTTGCCTTGCCTGCCAAGTTGGAGAATCATCTGGTCTACTTACATTACTTTGAGTTGCAATCACTGATTTTATGCTATAAATAATAGGTACATAAATAAAATGTGAATGGTGCCAATTCACATTTTTATCCATGTGTTTTTTAACTTTGTCCAATATCCCCTTTAACAGGTACCCGTGCAATTGAAAAATATGACCTCAGGACCAACAGCTGGCTACATAGTAGCACCATGAGTAGCCTTAGGTTTCAGTTTGGAGTTGCAGTTATTGATAATAAACTCTATGTCCTCGGAGGAAGGTATGGTTCAAAAACCTTAAATACTGTGGAATGTTTTGATCCAGCTAGCAAAATCTGGACTGTGATGCCTCCCATGTCAACACCGAGGCATGGCTTAGGTAAGAGCTTAGTGTTACGTAGTTTATAAAGAATGTACAGTTGTTAGTAGAGCTTTTTAAAAAGTAGTTTCTAAAGAATGTATAGTTAGTAGGGATTTTTAAAAAATGAATTCACCTGCAAATTATTGGGATTTAGCCAAACCCTTAGTCAAAATGTCTCCAACATGCTGAAAAGATAAGCAATTGGTAAAAGCCTGTCAAACTCTTCTCTTGTTTCAGATGTCGTGCTTGTCAAACCTTTCTCCCTTCTACTGGTATTTTAACTAGGCCTGCTTTAAGAAAGATAAAATCTTTTGGAAGAAATACATTGTTGAGGAATATAAAACTCCACCAGGAATTTTTTTTCTAAGCTCAGTTTAGAGGAAAGGGCACATGATGATGGAGAGACATTGCATTTCTAGATGCATGAATCATGACCCTTCCCAGAACATCAAATTGGTATTTCAGCAAAAGCCTTAGGATGCAGATCCAAGCAGGGATATTTAGGAAATTCAGAGCAGTTCTAGGTTATACTTAAGCCAGAAGTTGCCAAGAAGTTGAAGAAAGATGTAGTAAAAACGACTGAATAGTGAGGAACTTTGATTCTCCTGAATATTGGCAGAGTACATCTTTCTGCATGCTAGACTCCTTTGTTTAAAAAGAAGAATACTTACCTTAGTTAGGCAATTAAGAACTGACTTATACACAGCTAAATAGTGGAGACAAGGTCTGGTATTGTTTACCCCAAATTATCTAATAGATAGTCTATGCCAAATGATAGACTATATAATTATGCAGCTCAGTTGTGTCAGTGTGATTCCTGGACATAGCTTAGAAAACATAACTTGTGGAGACATCAGAGCAAGTTTAAAAAATCTCATTGATATCACTTGAGAGGTAAGAGAGGTGATGAGGGTATACCACTGAGAGACTGACTGAGATGGTGAAGAAGGTGGGGGAGAAAACCAATTATGTGAATTCCCAGAGCAGACAAGCAGCAGTTAGAATGGGGTTATTCATAGTATCTAATGAAACAAACTTCTGACTTCACCTCAAAAAGCTCTGTCTATTTAGTTATCCCATGGGAATCTCTTTATTTTAATCCCTATAATAAAGAGCAGGGTTTTAAAAGACCTATCACAGATAGCCTACAATTCTAAAATTTATCTAATATTCTGTATCATATTTCATCTACCCCTTACATTCAAAACATGGCATTGAAATTATGCCCGAAAAAAACAGCTTCCCTTTTCTATGATATCTCTATTACAGTGGGTCTCACTACCTCCTTTGATTTCAGTGTTACAATAGTGATACCCTTTCATGATACAGTAACTACAGCCTGAAAGTATCCTAGGACAAATAGACCATATTTAGTTTCATATTAAGATAAGTAAATTACTCATGTGTACACAAAACCATTTAAGAAACAAAAACTAATTTTTAGCCCATCAGTTGTTTGCAGAATGATACTGTATCCCTTATCTGTGCTGTACCATAGTGAGCCCTCATGCTATTTTTATCCTTTAGGTGTAGTCACACTTGAAGGACCAATGTATGCTGTTGGTGGTCATGATGGGTCGAATTATCTAAGAACTGTAGAAAGATGGGACCCTGAGGGACATCAGTGGACTTACGTGGCCAGTATGTCAACTCCTAGAAGTACAGCTGGTATTGTTGCATTAAATGGCAAGTGAGTAAAACCAAACCTGCATGCGCTTTGCTCCCAGGTCATGTGATACAGCACTTCCTTGATGTGCTCCATCAGTGAGTAAGCATTCCCAGTGACCAGGACATCCTATTTATCAGTCATAAAAGACCTGTGTTGGAACACTCCCTTCAGTATAACAAAAAGCACTTGTCCAAAATGAGCATTTAAATTAAATATTCTGTAGTCCCTTGCCACTCAAGTGGCATCCTGGGACCAGCAGCATTACCATTACCTGAGATCTATTTAGATACGCTGGTTTGATATTTGCTCTGGGTGATGGTTACGTGAATATATACACGTGTCAAAATTCATCAAGCTATACACGAAGACTTGTGCATTTCATTGTATGTCCCTGTATAAAAATTCATGAAAAAATAAGAAATGCTGAATCCTAGCCCCACCCTAAATACAACTTCTGAAACAGAAACAGTATTTTACCAATATCCTCAAGTGACTTGTGTACGCAGTAAACTTGAAAAGCACTTTTGTAGGCAAACCAGTTTCAATTTTGCCCTCAAGAAGCTACCACTTTTTACATTATGACTTATTTTTTAGTATCAAAACTTTGGTCTCTGTAATACGGAAGTCTTTTTGTTCTTTACTGCTCACTCTCTCCTCAGAGTCCAGGATTCCCAACTCTAGAATTCCGTCTAGTACCGTCTTTCTGAATCTTTCCCTCTTGTGATCACTTGCCTATAAGAGAAAGCTAGTATATTAAAGTCCTTTGGTGTTAGAGATTGTGAAGAACCTGAATGGTTACTTCTTCCAAGTAATTATGTGCTTTCTGACAAGGCACCTTTGGAGACAATGACTAGCATATAGGAAGCACTTGAATGATAAGAATTTCGGACACCACGATATATCAGTGGCAGGATATATCCATTTCCCATGGAATCCTTTAATCTACCACATCAAAGTAACTTTCACAAAAATTATAAAGGAGAGAGGCTTGGATTAAGTTTGACCTTAGCATGTGCCTTCAAATAAGTATCCATTCACACAGTCAGTTCATCCCAGAGAAGAATATATATTCAGAAAGTTTAAATGCTTTGTGCAAGGTTCTTTCACTTTCATTCTATGCACAAATTGGAAATATAATCTCCCTCTCTGTATGTGTATATACATACACACACTTGTGTCATTTTTCTAGGCTATATGCTGTTGGTGGATGTGATGAATGTTCCTGCCTCAAATCAGTGGAATACTTTAACCCACACACTAACAAATGGAGTCTGTGTGCTTCAATGTCTGAAAGACGTGGACTTGTGGGAGCTGCAACATACAATGGATTTTTATATGTTGTTGGGGGCCATGATTTCTCTACTTCTGACCAATGCACAGGCATTTCTAACCGTGTGGAACTGTAAAATGTTTCTATTTACCTATACATTTATTTATTTGTTGTTTTTCTTTTTGTCAGAAGTAGGAAAGATTTTCAGGCTACCAGAAAGATTTTTACGCTTCCAAAAAAGTGTTAATCCTTTCAGGGAACTAAACCTTTGTAAAATTGCACACTTAACTCCTAGGCTCAAAATATTTCGAAGAAATCCTCCTTAAGCCTTTCAGATCCGTCATTAAGAAATATATTAAAAGAATACACTGCTTTGTTTGATAGTCAACTTTTAAAATAATAAGAAAGAAGGGATGTAATAATAAATAAATTTTACACCCAGCTGTATCACTCAAACCATTCACCAGCTCAATCAAGAATAACTTTATTGTTTCAAAAATCAAATTGATCTTCAAAAGATGAAGACTTACCACCACAAAATATACAGAAAGTATTCCCAAAGAGAGGTATTATGTTCTGAACTATGACTGTATTGTGTTAAGTATTTCATTTTCCAAGGGTAACTTTTTTGAATGAGAAACACTTATTTGTGTGACATGTTTAAAATAAATCAATCCTATGACTTTGCAGTTATACCATTCATACTCCTTTTCAAGATAGAAAAAATATGCAAACATAATAGTTAAATAATATTAACTAAGAACAAATAAAAAATTTACAGTCAGTAAGGTTATCAAAATTCAAAAGACAGACATCATTGAGGGACAGTGTCCTCAAGGGAAATTCACACGAGTTGAAATTTGTAATTTGTATGTATACAAACAAATTGAGGGAATTTCAGGTAGAGGAAAAAGCACAGTCAAAACTGTGGAAATAAAGGAGAAATCTTTGTATATAAGAGCAGAGATTTTAGGTTGAAATGTCTTTTGGAACTTCAAGTAGGACAAACCTAGAAAGACCCACACTGAGCAGTGTAATCAAACTGTTGAACATCAAAAACAAAGAGACTGTCTTGAAAACAGCACGAGAAAAACAATTTGTGACTTAGAAGAAGGGGTTGGTGCAGTATGAAGAAAACCAACTGATAGAGCCTGGAGAAAAGCCAGTTCTTAAGAACACTAAGAAATTTTTCTTCTCAAATAATGAATTGCACCATTCAAGGGAAGTCTAAGTTCACATCTCAGGAATACTGTTTACAAAATATGTGAATTTGATCCTGTTACTTTATATCTCTAAACATTAGTTTCTTCATGTGAAAAAATGGGAATAATTATAGTTTCAACCTCCTTAGGTACAAGATAATCAATGTTACTGTACTTAGTACATTTTCTGGCACCCATTAAGTACTCAGTAGAAGTTAGCTCATGGTACTGTTTTTATTTGTATTATTTTTGTAAACAGTATTATTCTTACTACTGTCATTATCCCCTTATTAGCATTTTCCTTTCCAAAACCTTGAGAAAATGGCTAGTGCTAAAGTATAATTTTCAGAAAGTTATGACTTTCACACAAATATAATATTTACACGTGTCAAGGATTTTATGTGATTAATTAATGAAGCAAGCCCGTAAGATGCTAAAACCAGTTCAAAGAGTCTTTGAAGAAAAGGTACATAGAAAATTTAGGAATTCTGAAAAAATTCATTAATAAATGCTAAAGTAGGTAATATTCTATAGGGAATGAAATGTAATCTTTGAGCGTCATCATTTCTACATGGTGGAGTTTAATTCTGTGTCAGGCAAAATTCATTTGTATTGTTACGTACAAGAATCACAAGGAAACAAGTTTTCTACAAGTTAACCTCTAAATCTACAGAGTTGTAAAACAGCTTTGTCCATAGAAATTCAATCAAAGGTGCATATTCTATGAAATCAGATAATCCTTATTTCCGTGACTTAGACAATCTTTCTTTTTTTTTTCTTTTTTAAATTAAGGTATCATTGATACACAATCTTCTGAAGGTTTCACATGAGCAACATTGAGGTTTCAATCTTCACCTATATTTTCAAGTCCCACGCACATCCCATTGCAATCACTGTTAGACAATTTTTCTAAGACTGTTTTTTTTTTGTAAGGCCATCTCTCCTATTTATTGATCAAATGGTTGTTAACTGTGAAATTTGTAATTCGTATGTATACAAACAAATTGAGGGAATTTCAGGGAGAGGAAAAAGCACAATCAATACTGTGGAAGTAAAGGAGAAAGGTTTGTAGATAAGAGCAGAGATTTTAGGTTGAAATGTCATTTGGAACTTCAAGTAGGCAAACCTAGGGAGATAGATCCACACTAAGCAGTGTAATCAAACTGTTGAACATCAAAAACAGAGACAGTCTTGAAAACAGCATGAGAAAAACAATTTGTGACTGAGAAGAAGGGGTTGGTGCAGTATGAAGAAAACCAACTGATAGAGCCTGGAGAAAAGCCAATTCTTAAGAACACTAAGAAATTGTTATTTTCCAATAATGAATTATACCAATCAAGGGAAGTCTAAGTTCAAATCCCAGGACTACTGTTTACAAGATATGTGAACTTGATCCTGTTACTTTATATCTCTAGACATCAGTATCTTCATGTGAAAAATGGGAATATGTATAGTTTCAACCTCCCTGGGTACAAGATAATCAATGTTACTGTACTTAGTACATTTCCTGGCACCCATTAAGTACTCAGTAGAAGTTAGCTCATGATACTGTTTTCACATGTATTATTTTTGTAAACAGTATTATTCTTATGACTACCATTATCCCCTTATTAGCATTTTCCTTCAAAAAACCCTGACAAAATGGCTAGTGCTAAAGTATAATTTTCAAAAAGTTATGACTTTCACACAAATATAATTACACGTGTCAAGGATTTTATGTGATTAATTAAGGAAGCAAGCCCGTAAGATGCTAAAACCAGTTCAAAGAGTCTTTGAAGAAAAGGTATATAGATAATTTAGGAATTCTGAAAAAAAAATTGTTAATAGATGCAAAAGTAGGTAATATCCTATAGGGAATGAAATGTAATCTTTGAGCGTCATCATTTCTACGTGGTGGAGTTTAATTCTGTGTCTGGCAAAATTCATTTGATTGTTATGTACAAGAATCACAAGAAAACTCAGTTTTCTACAAGTTCATCTCTATATCTACAGAGTTGTAAAACAGCTTTGTCAATAGAAATTCAATCAAAGGTGCATATTCCGTGGAATCAGACAATCCTTATTTCCATGACTTAAACAATCTTTCTTTTTCTTTTTTTAATTAAGGTATTATTGATACACAATCTCCTGAAGGTTTCACATGAGCAACATTGTGGTTTCAACATTCACCCATATTTTCAAGTCCCCCCCACACCACACTGCAATCAGTTAGACAATTTTTCTAAGACTGTTCTCACTAAAAAATTGTTGGCCTACCGAGTACCTTGGGAGTCTCATCCAGTTATTTAAGATAATCATATAAATTAGATGTTTCTAAATCTATCACATAAACTTAGGTTCGTTGGCTCAGGGATTACTATTTCCGTAATGTTGATGAGAAAATTGAGGCAAAGAGGTCTAGCAAATTATCCCTAGCTATTCTTCCAAGTGGAAGAAAATGTCCAGGACTGATTCCCTTTGTTGCAGCCTCCATTTTATTTCCACTAGAATACAGATATTTTTATCCAAAGTAAGGAGAGACAGAAAGGCAAAAAAGAAACAAAAAGGGAGAGGCGTAATGCTATTTTAATTTGAAAGTGATATAGTGGCTAATTATTTTTAAATAACTGCTTCTGTGTGTCTTTACAGATGGTAACCATATTGCCAGTTTTTTCCCCCCAAAACATTCAGCATTCCCCAAAACCCTGTTGTTAACCAAACAGTATCCAGATATTGTTAACAGCCAGAATTTTTTAGCATTATTATGCACATGTATAAATGTCTTGGGTTTGGGTGCCAGTCTTTAAGGATATCCTGTGGGCCCTGGTTCACCATTCATATATGTGTGTACTGTGTTAGCTGAGTGGAGCATCAATTAATAGCAATTGTGCTGAAGATTCAGCTTACTAAAGTATGCAGCTATGAGATTTTCTGTTTCTGGGTTTTATTGTAATATCAGAACTCCAGGTGATATCCTTTGTGACACTAAGAAGTATCTACTGGACTATTGAGGTCATGTTAATTATTGCTTATTTTCAGATATTATTAAAAATATTCCTGGATGTGTGCAGCCAAGTTCAAATGGAAAGCTAGGATCAGATACTTTATTATATGATTAAAGAGATAAAAACAGAAATAAGAGAGGTATTAGAACTATAAGGAAATTAGTAGAAGGTAACACATGAAAATCTTTTTCATAAAATAAATATTTTTCATTGGGGTTTTCAAATAGGCCAGTATAAAATCAGAGAACATTTCCATGCATGAGTTTTCTTTTAGTCACTCCTTTTAGATTTTAGTATTGCATATTTTTTGATAAGCTTCAAATTTTGAGAAATAATTCCTGGAGAAGATTTAATTAATATTAGTTACCAAACTACCTTTAATTTGCTTACAGAAGAAGCTGGGGGACAAGGACTTAACTTCAGATAAAAATAAACGGAAAATAATCGTAGGCTCCTGTGAAGATAAATAGGAACTCCCAGAGGGGAAAAACATAGGATAAGACGATAATCATTCTAACTGCAAATAGTACGAAAAAAAGGATACTACATTATATATAGCAAAATGGCCATTATATTCAGATTTACTTAAAATGTGAGCTCTTGTATGAACAGGATCGTGTATAACTTTGGTAAATAATGAATAAGATAATAGAAAAATAAAAGCTCTCCAATCAGTACACTAAGTGAGAGAGGGGGCATTTTTCATAGAGTGTTAAGATGCTAATATGTGAGATTTGCTCATAGAGAATTTGAGTACCTATTAAAGAAATGCCTAGTATTTTGGAAAGGAAATACAATTTTGATATGCTTTCAGTGACCTCTGATGGCAGAAGCGAATTTTGTCATGTGCTTATCCTTAACATTTAGTAGACTACGTTTGATATTTATAAGGTATTTTTAACTCCTTAGATAAATATGCATTTTATTAATGTCTATATATTTAATTTTAACACTATTGGACTTCTCTCTGTTGTCTTCCTAAACCTCTTAAGGTATGATCCAAAAACTGATTCATGGTCCACTGTGGCGCCTCTGAGGGTTCCTCGAGAAGGCAGTGCTCTATGTCCCCTTGGAGACAGGCTCTATGTGGTTGGAGGATATGATGGACATACTTGTTTGAATACTGTTGATTCATATGATGCACAAAAAGATGAGTGGAGAGAGGTACTCTCATTGAATATAATAAGATTGGTATATTTCAGACTTTAATAAAATATTTCAAAATATATGTTTGGAATTAATTGGATTACCTTCTTCTCTAGGGGCTATCCAGATTCTCTTAGAAAATTTTGTAGTGTGTGCTTTATCTGTGCCACAGAAAATTACTAGTTGATCTAGTTGATCATTAGCAAGATCCAATAGTACTTACAAGAAAGAGGGCAGAACATTCCTTTGACTTCATGGACTCATTCCCTTCACAGAAAAGTGAATATATTCAATAATTTAAGAGCTTTACTCTCTGGCTGACTTTCTATGTATATATTATGATTTGTGAGTCAAAGAGCAATGACCTCATCCACAAATGTCTGCTCCTCTTTTTGGCTTGTGCCCAAAAGTAAACAACAAAATGAAGGATGAGTATTATTAGCTGTAATTTCTCAAAGGAGAAAATTATCAGAGAGGTGAAACTTCTTCAATATCACCTGCTCCTCAAATTCAGGTCTGCATCACTCCAAAGATATGTACATTCTTTCCACCACCCTGGACTGCGATCTGGCCTGTATTTCCCCTTACTTTTATGCAAGATGAAGGTTGGACCAGAATAGCTAAGGACTTTTTCAACTCCAGCATGCTGTATTATGTTAAAGACAAGAGTTCATTCAAACAGCATTTCTTTCCTTGTTTTTATTTTCTGTGTTAGGAAGCTCCTGTCAACATTGGAAGAATGGGTCCATGTGTGGTGGTGATGAAGCTACCATAAAGCAATGTTTTCAAAGGGAAAGAAAGTGGATACTTTCAAGAAATGGAGTAGAAAGAAGAGAAGAATGTTCTTTCCTTCATAAAGTAATCAAAGATGAAAATTCTTGTGTCATTTTAATATGTAGTTATAATTGCTTTCATTTGTGAAGGCAGAACAAGTTTTCAAGAATAAATTACATATAGCTGTTAAGTGTGTTAAGTGTATGTGTTGTCACACCTCATACTATAAATGGAAATCCAAGAGTCCAGGCTTAGCCTCATTACTTTAACATGTTAAAATGTTTAAGGGAAACTGGTAGTACCCAATGGATGAAATGTCATAAAATCATTGGTAATTTTTAAGTTAAGAGTCAGAAGTTAAAAAACATTTTCTATTTTAAGAAAAATGGTCCTCTAATATCTGGAAAGTAACAAATATAAAAGAGAACATCTAAAGCTGAAAATAGAAAGTCTCATTTTCAGTAAAATATCATTCTCTTACTCAAATATCACCCCAAATAGCTATATAATTCCTCACATTTAGCAAAAGGAAAGCCTTCACTGTGGTGAGGCTAAAACACAAAAACAAAAAATAGCTCACTGACGTAATTTGTTACACCGATCACAGTATGCTAAAATGTTCAAACTAACTCTTGTACAGGACCGTCTTCTAAAGCACACAGAGATTTGTTATTCCCTAACATTTTGTCATGTCACATGTTACTAGTAAAATATTATTGTAATTTCGTATATACAATCTATACAAAAAAGAGCAAATGTTTTTCACATTGATATAAACTGTGACCTCACCTTTAAGAGTGTCAGGGCCTCACTTGTATAGGAAGTAATATTCTTCTCAAACATTTCTGTGAACTCTGTGAACACCTACAATAAAGTTAAACAAGTTTTCAAAAACAGTTTATAGCGTACAGTAAAATTGGCAAGATGCTCTGTAATATTAACACATGGAAAATACCAAATGTCCAATGTCCACACTTAATTCTATAATTATATTTTATGTACCAATACATGCTTTCCTGTTGTTGTAGTCATACAGAAGAAAACATTCATAAGCATGTATATCAATAATATCTTAATAAAAAATTTAAAAGCAATTACTGTAAATAGATTAGGTTGTTAAATTACTTCAAAATAGACATACAAACGGAGGATTTCTCCTCATATAATTACTAGAATCAAAATAAAGTTTAACTTTTATTTGTGGTTACTATTTGCCAGACCCTGGGTGGATTTTGTCCTGTAATTTGGCCCTAGGATCCATTACCCCCAAAATAGGGGGCTTTATCTGTGTTTCTTTTACCCTGCTTAAGGTCTTTGTTACTAGAAATGAAAAAAAAAAAATCCCTCAATGCATTTAAAACATCTTCAGAGACGTTATTTTGCTGTTCTCTATGTTTAGTGAAGATGATTTCAATACAAGGTTTAGAGCCACATCACCCTTTATCTCTGTTATTTTTTATTCTTGCTTGTGATAAAAGTAATTGCTGGCTTGACAAGGAGGTAGCAGGAAGGGCATTATGATAGCAGGTAAACCCACAATGAGAGAGTCACGTCCCTCTTCCTGAAGTATATAGGCTGCAATTATATATACTCATTAGTGAAGCATTAGGAAATTGTAAAATGAGGTATAGATTTTCATAAAGACAGATTCTCTGCAAGCAGTATTGCCACAGAGTGAATAACAATACAACGTGCTGAGCAAATTTGAATCTCAGATAAACAATGCATGATATTTTTAGCTTAACATATCTAAAATATTTGATGAGATGTACTCATGACTAAAGAGTTATCCACTGTTTAAAGTACAAATTTAATCTCCCATCCTGTATTTCGGGCGGTCACCCTATCTGCAATTAGTGAGGTAACGAATTTTCCATATTGGGAAGATGCTAAACCTGACTAGGCCATAATTGGGTCTAGCTTATACCAATCAAATTTTATTGACCAATGAGCATAGCCTAGGACGAGAAACAAGCTGAAGGCGCGTTTCTAGCCGGCTCCTAACGGCCGAAAGGCATCTCCGTCACTCGTAAGAGGGAAAGTAAAAATATAATTGACTGGTTAAGATAAAAATCCTTCCTCTCTTGGCAATAGTTGATGATACCGGGTGAATGAACTGATACTTAATAAAGACTTGAGCTGATTTTTTAGCTCGCTTATTGAGCTGTTATATACACTGTCTGGAGATTCTTTTCTTCTCTCCCTTCTTATTCCTCCTCCTCCATTCTTCATATGTTGTGTGTTTTGTTCTGTGCTCTTTTTAGGAGTGTTCCCATCTGGAGCAGTCCCTGTTAGATGCCCTCTAGAGGTGGTTTGTGAGAGGCAAATTCCCTCAGCTTTTGCATGTCTGGGAATTGTTTAATCCCGCCATCATATTTTAATGATAGTCATTCTGAATACAGTATCCTTGGTTCAAGGCCCTTCTGTTTCATTGCATTAAATATATCATGCCATTCTCTTCTGGCCTTTAGGGTTTCTGTCCAGAAGTCTGGTGTTAGCCTGATGGGTTTTCCTTTATAGGTGACCTTTTTCTCTCTAGATGCCTTTAAAACTCTTTCCTTGTCCTTGATCCTTGCCATTTTAATTATTATATGTCTTGGTGTTGTCCTCCTTAGATGCTTTCTGTTGGGGGTTCTGTGTATTCCCGTGGTCTGTTCGATTATTTTCTCCCCTAGTTTGAGGAAGTTTTCAGCAATTATTTCTTCAAAGAGACTTTCTCTCCCTTTTCCTCTCTCTTCTTCTTCTGGTACCCCTATAATATGGATATTGTTCCTTTTGGATTGGTCACATAGTTTTCTTAGTATTGTTTCATTTCTGGAGATCCTTTTATCTCTCTTTATGTCAGCTTCTATACGTCCCTGTTCTCTGGTTTCTATTCCTTCAATGGCCTCTTGCATCTTATCCATTCTTCTTGTAAATCCTTCCAGGGTTTGTTTGACTTCTGTGATCTCCTTCCTGACATTTGTGATGTACCTCCAGACTTCATCCCATTGCTCTTGCATTTTTCTCTGCATCTCATCCCATTGCTCCTGCATTTTTCTCTTCATCTCTGTCAGCATATTTATGATTTTTATTTTGAATTCATTTTCAGGAAGACTGGTTAGGTCTGTCTCCTTCTCAGGTGTTGTTTCTGTGATCTTTGTCAGCCTGTAGTTTTGCCTTTTCATGGTGATAGAGATGGTTTGCAGAGCTGGTACGAGTGACAGCTGGAAGAGCTTTCCTTCTTGTTGGTTTGTGGCCTTTCTCTCCCCCTTCACAAGGCCCTGGGTTCTCGCAGTTGTGGATGTGGTCTGGATGTTTCCCTGTGTCCTCTGGTCTCTATCTTAGGAAGAGTTGTCTTTGTTATATTTTCCTACGTACATGTGGTTTTGGGAGGAGATTTCTGCTGCTCTACTCACGCCGCCATCTTGGCTCCCTCTTCTCTAAGACTGTTTTTTACTAAAAAATGGTTGGCCTACCGAGTACCTTGGGAGTCTCATCCAATTATTTAAGATAATCATTTAAATTAAATGTTTCTAAATCTGTCACATAAACTTAGGTTGTTTGGCTCAGGGATTACTATTTCCATAATGTTGATGAGAAAGTTGAGGCAAAGAAGTCTAGCAAATTATCCCTATTTATTCTTTTAAGTTGGAAGAAAATGTCCAGGACTGATTCCCTTTGTTGAAGACTCCATTTCATTTCCACTAGAATACAGATATTTTTATCCAAAGTAAGGAGAGACAGAAAGGCAAAAAAGAAACAAAAGGGAGAGGCATAATGGTATTTTAATTGGAAAGTGATATAGTGGCTATTTATTTTTAAATAACTGCTTCTGTGTGTCTTTACAAATGGTAACCATATTGCCAGTCCTTTCCCCAAAAGATTCAACATTCCCCAAACACTTTTGTTAACCAAACACTGTTCAGATAATATTAACAGCCAGAATTTTTTAGCATTATTATGCACATGTATAAAAGTATTGGGTTTGGGTGTCAGTCTTTAAGGATATCCTGTGGGCCCTGGTTCACCATTCATATATGTGTGTACTGTGTTAGCTGAGTGGGGCATCAATTAATAGCAATTGTGCTGAAGATTCAGCTTACTAAAGTATGCAGCTATGAGATTTTCTGTTTCTGGGTTTTAATGTAATATCAGAACTCCAGGTGATATGCTTTGTGACACTCAGAAATATGTACTGGATATTAAGGTTATGTTAATTATTGCTGATTTTCAGATATTATTAAAAATATTACTGGATATGTGCAGCCAAGTTCAAATGGAGGGCTAGGATCAGATACTTTATAATATGATTGAAGAGATTTAAAAAAAACAGAAGTAAGTGAGGTGTTAGAATTATAAAGAAATTAGTAGAAGGTAACACATGAAAATCTTCATAAAATAAATCTTTTTCATTGGTGTTTTCGAATAGACCAGTATAAAATCAGAGAGCATTTCCATGCATGAGTTTTCTTTCAGTCACTCCTTCTAGATTTTAGTATTGCATATTTTTTTAATAAGCTTCAAATTTTGAGAAAAAATTCCTGGAGAAGATTTTAATTAATATTAGTTACCAAACTGTCTTTAATTTGCTTACAGAAGAAGCTGGGGGACAATGACTTAACTTCAGATAAAAATAAACAGAAAATAATCCTAGGCTCCTGTGAAGATAAATAGAAACTCCCAGAGGGGAAAAACATAAGATAAGATGATAATCATTCTAACTACAAATAGTACGAAAAAAGGGATACTACATTATATACAGCAAAAAGACCATTATATTCAGATTTACTTAAAATGTGAGCTCTTATATGAACAGGATCGTGTATAACTTTGGTAAGTAGTCACCCTATCTGAAATTAGTGAGGTAACAACTTTTCCATATTGGGAAGATGTTGAACCCAACTAGGCCATAATTGGGTGTAGCTTGTGTCAATCAAATTTTATTGACCAACGAGCACAGCCTAGTACCAGAAACGAGCTGAAGGGGTTAACATTTTGGGGAAATAGTCCAGCAGTGTTTCTGAAACTGTAAACTCACATCCCCTTTGTGTCTCACGCTGGAGACTTTACCTGAAGAAATAAGTTATCTCTATGGAAGAGACTTGACTAAGCTATTTATTTCCATGTAGTT